AGTTTAGTTTTGTAGTACAACTTAAGTTTTAGAATTACTACACTTCTTTACTGATAGACGAAACTAAAAAAAAAAAAAAAAATTGAAAACACAACCTAGAAAGTATTTTTTTTAACCCAATTAATATAAGCCGTTCATTTTGGTGAGATGCTTAAATCTAGACCTTAAAAGGATTTTTTCATTTCTAATTTTTTTGAATGGCTTTATTGTCATTAAATGAACAATGTTAAAAAAGAAAAAAATTATTTTGAATTTATAAAAGCTAAGATCTTGAAATTCACAAAATGAATGATCTAGATTCATTTTTGGAAGGGACTTGTTTTGACCATATCTAAGGTTCAAATTGAATTTTTTTTTTTTTTGGAATTGATTATTGAAGTGAAGAGAGAGTGTGCAAAATTTAAAGTCATACAAATACCAGAAACATGGTTTTCTAGAAGTGTCGTTGCCTTATACTATAATACAACCGCTGCATTAGATCAATGCTTTATTTTATATATATATATATATATCTTAAGGCTTGAAAAACCTAATTTTTTCATATTCATATTGGTCAAGAGATGATCGATTTGAAAGTTTTCGACTCCAAAACTACAATTTTCGGTTAGATTTGAAATGCATTCATAAGGCCTAGGCCTTATTTTCACATTTTCCTTATTTAATTACTTTGGAACAACAATCCTGGGTGTCCTAATATAGTGGTTTTATGCTAAAAGAAAAGTAAAGCCACACCTAAAAACCGCCCTGAAAAATGCCGTGATATTGTTAGAAACCTTTTTGACAGCTAAAAAAGTATTTCTTCTGTTCCACCCTTATTATAAAATTTCAAGCTCTAATAACGATGGAAATCGAGTGTATTAACAAATATTTGAAAATGAAAGTCTAAATAATATTTTATTAGATACACTATTTTTAAGGGTTAAAATTTATTTATTTTAAATCCATAATTGTTGAAATCGAGATAATTGTTGAGATCGAGACAATTAATTTGAAGGTTTTTTTGGACTTAAATAAAAAGCTAACCTTTTACCTTATTGGTTTGACAATTAACACCGCAGAGTTCATATCTTTTTTCCGACTTAAGTACTCTCGGGTATCTTTCGTGAGTCCCTCTTGACCAAATGCTAAATCCATACTCCCAAGGGTCATCTCCATCAGTGATGCAGTAAAGAGTACATTCCACCAACTCTTTCCATTGCCACCCAATCATTGCTATTGCTATTGCTTTGGAGGATGATGAACCTCGTGAGTATTGATTTTCCATAGTTATGAGGATTATGGCATGCTTTACCGTTGAAAAAAGAATCTCTCTCAACATAAAAATTGAAAAGAAATGAGAGCCAAAATTTGATACCGGCCATCTGCTCTCTGGGTTGAGCTCGGGCACGCCCTTCTCGGCTTCATCAAAGTACATTCTTGCCCTCTTGATCTGCCATCTCATAAATTCCCTCCACCTCTCTGTCACCTTCCCCGCAAACACGTCCTCCTCCGAAAGCCCGGCCTGCTTAAGCTCGTCCTGTGGTAGGTAAATTCTCCCCCGCCTGGCACTGAAACTCAAAAATTTCCCCAAATTTTAGTTTATGATATACTCGTTCTCTCTCTCTCTCTACGATATAAGAAGAGGGATGCTGTATTATGATCCTGAGAAAGGGAACGTGTATTATGGTCCTGAGGATAAAAAGTATACCCATTTGGGTTATTACCGCATGCATGTCGAATGATGGATGGTGATGGAGAGAGGGTGAGTGAGACACCCATTTTGGCCATCGATTGTTTTGTTGGGTCCCACTTACCCTATTACCACCGATCGTCAGACGGCGATGTACCATACTCCTACAAATAACATTCTTTAAAGCACAGGGGAATTTTACCAAGAGAAAGCGTACCATAGTCCCATGGTGTATGGTGTACAAGGAATCAATTCTCAAATTCATGATATCAGAAAGCACTAAAGCAGAGACTCTTTCTAAAGGAGCCCTCTCACTCATTCCACCTAGGTACTAAGAACAGACTACGGATACCTCTTTGCGGGACCATATGGTTCATACCATGATCCAATGGATTATGGAATAGCAGTACAGTACACCAAGGGGCATCCATTATGCACTCCCAGTGATGAACAGTGGAGATTGGTGAAGGTCCTTGTGGGCCCCACTAAAATTCGTCTCCGAAATCGGTAATAAAAAATGGACAGTGGATTCCTTTTGGAGTACCATATAACATACTTCATTCGATATGCTTCCCCTTTAGACAAACCAGTCAATATTAGATCATGGTAACAAGATTGTCAGAGGGGTCATCAACATGCAATCAATGTTCGGACCGCGATTGACATACAACTGAACTAATGACATGTTTGGGTGGGACCCCACTCTCCCTCCATCACTGTTTGACTTACCAACGACCAGTCATATGATGTATAATTACGAACATCATATTGGTCACAGTATAATCTCTCCTCAATTCTTATGAATAACCCAACAAAATAACAAACAAGATAGTTTGAATGAAATTGTTCTAACTCACTCTTCTCCGATGTCCCTAAGGATGTTAGTGAGCTGATTCGCGATCCCCAAGGCCAAGGCTGCATTATACACGTTCTCTGTTTTTGTACAGGAGTCGGATGCAATGCCCATAACAGGCACACTCATCAAACCAACAGTTCCAGCCACATAGTAACAGTAGAGATAGAGCTCATCAAAGTTCGCATATCTTGACTTCCTGAGGTCCATCCTCATTCCTTCTATCATGTCTTTAAATGGCTGGAAAAAAACGGAACAATAGCTTTTATCTAGTACATGTGGAATATATCTTTTTCTTTTGTGTAAATGTTGAAAATATGCTTATGTAGATAAGTATTGTATGTACATCCTACATGGCATGCATGGTTGCATTGCTTTTCATTATATTTTTTTTTTAAATTTCAAGGAAAATGCTTTTTAGGAAAATTAAGGGAGAACCTTAAGCTATTTCTGTGAGTTTTCTAGGAAATTGAGATATAAATGGATGGTGTAGAAAAAAATTAAAAACAATTGCAAAAGTAGCCTGTTAAGATTATATATTCATTTTGGGTTCTTAATATTACAGGAAATTTTATTAAAAAATATGATATCTCAACAAAATTTCAAAAACCTCTTAATCCCTGTCCTTCTGTATTAAAAGACAAAGAAACGATATGCACCTGTATATCTACAGGGAACTTGGATACAGTATCAGATACTGCTGCATCTAACATATCATAAGGGCGGCCATGAAAGAGATCATGCAACCTCATCTCCCATCTATCTAAAGCTGAAGGTGTTATATGGGAAGCATTTGGGCCATCTACAAGCTCATCGGTTCTTCTACACCAAACTGTAGACAAGGTTGAATATCAGAAGATTAGAAATTTCAGAAGAAAAGCATAATTAAAACTCATAAAATCCAAAATTAAACATCGGAAAAAATCCTGTGTAACCCAGCTCGCCACCAGAGGGGGAGAGAGAGAGAGAGAGAGGTGTTAGAACCATGAGTTGTGAATAATGCATGAATCATGCAAGATATCATGATTGAATAAATCATAGCATGGATATTTATCAATTCATGATCTTGGTGGCCCACCTATGATCGCCTAGAGAGCTCTTTGCTTCTCTGATATAGTGAGCAATGAACCTAGTTCCGGCCAAGATTATATTTACAGTCATCATCAAGATTCTTTTTTGGGTGAAAGTCACCATCAAGATTCCAAACGCAAGTTTCTTTCATTTGGTCATGCAGCCCAATTGAAATAGGGGTAGTAACATATCTGTGACTGTAAAAATCTAAATTAGAGAGAGAGAGAGAGAGAGGACCGGTGTAAAAGGTCTTTTAGAATCCCAGTGCAGCATTTGTTACAATGTTATAAGCTTCCCTCAGAAAGGGCAAATTCTTCATAGAAACCATGTGGGTTTCACATTAAGCATTCAATTGATCATCATATGAACTTCAAATACAGAAGATTTTCAGGAAAGAATACTCCACTTGGAATTAGTTTGACCCATCCTATCAGAGGAATTACAGCTCAAAACTTGACTTATAAACTCATTATAACCCAAAATCCACTCCCTCAAACATTAACAGGGAAGCATAGTCCTGGAAAACATTAAAATCAGCTTCAGATGCGAATTTACACAGGAAATACTGGATCTTAAACAAAATCAAGATTTACTTCAGGACTTCAGGTATTTAAAGAAGGAACCTTCTTTTTATTACCCAGACACATCAAGCAGATGACTTTTTTATATATTCCGAGAATCAATTCCAACAGGCGATGGAAAAACATAGACCACTGTGGTCCTCACTGACCAATAAAACGGAGAGTGGACAGTGGTAAAGAGTCAGATCATCATCGGATCATGACCTGTTCTAGTGGATCCCATATTCTCTGCATCACCATCCATCATTTCATTACATAGTTATGGCCCCAGTGGACCATACTTTCCATAAACTAATTGAGTATACATACCAATTTTTTTCAGAGAATATTTCCTACCTATTAGGGGATCACATAAACTGGGAGGAATACATATCTGGGGGTAGGGGGTTTTTCCCAAGTGTCGAGATCCAATTGGGTAAGGGATACCACATGGTTGAGGTGGTTGGGCAGCATGGAGAAATGGTCTATACACGTATCCCACATGCCCACATGACTTCCTACCTAGAGGTTCATAAACTAAGCACAGTCCCCTCTATAATTAATAAATGATTAGAACCAAATCTGGAGAAAAGCCTAATAAACTAGGTTAGTGTTTCAGATCAGAATCTCTCTCTCTCTCT